GCAGAAGCAAAAGAAGTAGGTGCTGTTATTAGAGATAAGTTTTTGCAGAAAATTGCCCGCCCCCTTGGGCAGGAAGAACAAAAAGGTAAACAGTGTTTCCATTCCTCCGAAATGCCTGTAGTGGTTTCTCTTTGCTTGATTTGATGCTGATTGATGGTGGATTCTAACTTCCGGGGAGTTTATAAGAATGCCCACAAAGCAGATTTGGAATACAAATAAAATGGTGGAGGTAAAGCCCAACCGCATTGGCCTCCCCGGCTTCTGTTGCTGCTGTTTCTGCTGCTTTGGGGACCCCACCTCTGGCCACTGAGCTGGCAGCCACAAGCCCCTGCACAGTGACAGCGTAGAAATGCAGGAGCTGCTGTCCCCACAGACTCCTGCAGTCACTCCTGGCTCCTACTGCTGCAACCAAAGCAGAAAAAAAATAGCTTTTCCCTCATGCATACTTTCTAATCTACCATGACTGCCTCTCATTAGCAGAACCTAAATGGAAACCAGCTGGCAGGGGGTTCTGGGAAATGTGGTTTCCAGGCTTCCAGCCCCTGCGACACAGAGGAGAATATAGAAGAATGAGTGTGAGCCGTGAGCCACCAGACAAATGTCAGCCGCCATTCTGGCTGCAGTGACCAAACCCCATTGCCTTGGAATTTAATTTGTCACATGGATCGGTCTCGAATGGGTGTAATAATTCCCAGTTACAGCCCTGGGATTGCACACGACAAAAGCTTAAGGAGAGTCACGGCATTTATACATACATATATATATATATATATATATATATATACAAGCTCATACATGAAGACTCCATGTGTGGGGAGAAAAGCAGCTCTTGTGGGAGAGAAACCAAAATGAATGCCGGCTCATGCCAGGCTTTTAGAAACCAAAGCCGGCCTGGCTGTCCTGGCTGAAGCAGCAGGGCACAGTGACGCTGAATCAGTCGATGGCTGCGTGTGCTTCACTGAGTCCACTGCCTCTTCTGTTCCCACCGCCTTATCACTCCAGCTCCTTCTGTTGCAAGAAAGAGATAGCCCAGTGACCTTTGATGCCGGGGTGTCTCAGCTCGGGTTACCGGGAAGACAGACTCTGAGACAAAGATTTGCACGTGGGAAGCTTATCAGGGCATGCTGTCAGGAACCAAAGCTGGAAGGCAGTCAGCGAGGCAGGACGGGGCAGAGGGACAAGTCGAAGTGGGACGCGGTTGCAGTAGCAGCCTCGCCGATCCCGTGGGAACTCTGGAACCCATGGTCCTTCACAGCTGCCCTGAACTGAGGCAAGGGAGCTAGAACTATGTACCTTCACGGTGACCGCTGGATGTTGGCCGCCCCTGGGAGGGGCATGACCTTGTTTGACACAGCTCTCTTTGGTTGCCTGGCAGTGGGGGACATGCGTGCCTCCATCCTGAAGGGGGCCTCCGGGCGGTGCAGCACAGCATCCCCCACGCAGGACAGGAGTGGAAAGCGACACGGGGACTGCTTGGCCGCGGTGCTGGACCACAGCTGCCGTGTGCTCCGAGCTGGTGGGAGAGAATCTGGCCACCACCCTAGCCTCCACCCCCGTCCTCTCACACTTGGGCTACTGGCTGCTGGAGACTCCGGACAGAGTCTCTGCTTCTAATGTTGCCACACTACTGTCACTCTCCATCCGACAGCCAGAGTGGTCCTCTCCAACCTTCGGTCAGATGGTAGGGCTGCATTGCTTTACCTCCCTACGCCCATGGCTGTTCATTGCCCTTAGCGCCACCTCCAGACCCTCCTCCTGGTGTCCAGGGTGAATGCGATCTGGCCCCTGCCTACCTGTCCGTCTCTCTTGACGCGCTCCGGCCACACTGGCCCTTTCTCTTCCTTGAACACTGCAAGCCCTTTCCCGCCTTAGCGTAGGGCTGCATTGCTTAACTTCCCTACGCCCATGGCTGTTCATTGCCCTTGGCGCCACCTCCAGACCCTCCTCCTGGTGTCCAGGGTGAATGCGATCTGGCCCCTGCCGACCTATCCGTCTCCCTTGCCGCGCTCCGGCCACACTGGCCCTTTCTCTTCCTTGAACACTGCAAGCCCTTTCCCGCCTTAGGCCCTTTGCCCTGGCTTTTCTCTCAGGCTGAAATGCCTCCTTCCGCCACGCAGGTCTCAGCTCTCACATCACCTCTTCAGCAGGGTGTTCCCCGACTCCCTAGTTACATCGGCTCCCCTCGCCTGGCCACCCCTTTTTATCATCTTCCAACACTCTTCACTGACTACAATTTCTTGTGCACTTACCAGCAAACTCGTTTGTCTGTCCCTTCCAGTCATATAAAGCTCTCCTATAGCAGAATCAGTACCTAGAAGAGTACTTGACATAGGGTAGGGAAATATTTGTGGAAGGTCGTGTGAGTCAACCACCTTCCAATATGGAGGATACCTACCGGGCAGGATTTCTTGAAAGTCACCTGATTGGCATGTGCCTTCCTCAGGCCCAGTCATAGCAAAGTTGCCTTGGCTGGGACAATGGTCTCCTGTCCAGTTGGCAATAACTGGGGTAGAGAGTTGGTTTCATCAGTCAAACTCAACAGATGCCATGGAAATGCCTTCAGGAAAGACTCACCTCACGCGTTTTCCTCAGAAGGGGGCTTCATGGAGCTTCGTGGCTGCACCTCTGGTGCAGACCCTCAGTACAGTCAGTTCCCCGTCTGTGTTGTCATCAGCACCTGGTTACCACAGTCACAGAAACCCTTCACTTTCTCTGATCAGCAGACAGAACACACAGTGGCTCGTGTAATTTGAGAATTCAGTCATTTGGGGGCTGATGTTTCTGAGAGGTGAGGACACCTTGGATAAGAGCCCAGTGGTTTACCCCTTTGCCAGCTAAAATCACATGAGAGTTGAAAATCTCTTCCCAAGGGTTGGAAAGCTTCCTGGTGATTAAAATCTTTTTATTTCAGCTCCCTGCTATTAAATAAGAATTACTATTTTCATTTACCGAGTGCCTGTTACATACCAGGAGCTGTGCTAGGTCCATCTTTCGGAGGTGTGCAGGGGCCTGCTGAGAGGGGACCAAACCCAGGTTTGTGAGACTGACGCTGGCCGCTGTCCACTGCGTGACCTGAGAAATTAAGGAGGTGGGAGGATTACTGCTAGTAAAAATAGCAATTGTTAGTAAAATAAAATGTGACAGGTCTTACTTCAAAGACGGCCTAATTAGTTTTGTTTAAAAAGTAAAGGTGAAAAAACCAAAAAAGCACAGGGAGGTTCTTTCTCACCTGCACCCCATGATCCATTCCAGTGTCATTCCATCCAAGCTCTGACTACTGTTCCATGCACTTTTTAATTTAACTAATAAACAAAAAAGCACAGGGAGGTTCTTTCTCACCTGCACCCCATGATCCACTCCAGTGTCATTCCATCCAAGCTCTGACTACTGTTCCATGCACTTTTTAATTTAACTAATAAAGATTCCACAGAATTTATCCGAATTTTAAATCTAGACGTCTTTGGCATCCTTCAAAGCTTGGCAGAAGATTGGTGAGTGCGATCTCCACCTCTGTCAAACAAACAAAAAAATCCCTCCTTGCAGACAATGTTTGCATCTTTTTCACTCAGGCAAAGTGGTCCATTTGCATAAAAGTGATCCTTTTGGAAGGAGTTTTGTGATTTTCAGTCATCCCTGGAAATAAAATCACAGCTCCTGTCTCACCTTACGTTGAAGTGTTTTCACGCTCCAGGGAATTGCTTACTGTCACCTGAATATAGAATTTGGTGGGCGTTAGTTTCAAACTGATACTACTCACAGCTGTCTTCAGGATTTCAAAAAGGTGTCAAAGTAGCCTTGGAAGGTGTTTCTCTCTTGTTCTGAGAAGAGGTGGAGTGATCCCTTTAGTTCTGAAAGTGCAGGGCCTCAGACATTGGGTTTCCACCTAAGGGAAGATGCTGCCTGGGGCTTTCTCACGAGAATTAAGTGGATCCAGAGTATTGTCTGTGCTATTGCCTGATGACACAGAGCATAGCTGCAAGAGAAATCAATGTACCTTTAAAACAATTTCTTTTCCTGATTTCACAAACGTGGAAAGGTAGGAAAGAATTTATTTCTGGATCAGAAGCAACTTGCTATCGTGAAATAGCACAGGCATTAAAATCAAACTTGCATTTGAATACAGTAGCCTTATTTACAATGACCTGCGTAAAGTGTATACCCTCCTTAATCTCAGTTTCTCGATCTGTAAAATGGGAATCATCTCCTTACCACTTAAGTTTGTCATAACATATGTCAATTTCCTTACATGGTTGCAAAATTTTCGGTGGACCATAAATTGGCAAGAAGGGATGACATTCCAATCTCTTTAAATTCTCAGTTTATTTAACCATGCATATGGAAGCCAGCAAGACAGATGCAGAAGATGACACTGTCTTTAGCCCCTGAGGTCCTTAATGAGGGGGACTCAGCTGCCTGTGACACTAGTCAGGTCTTGCTGGCTCAAAAAGCTTAATTTTGTGCTGCACCATAGCCCAGCTATAATTGGGGCTGACATCACCATTCAGGAAGAACTTACGAAAACACTCTCTGTCCTTAATAAGAAATACTAACAGACCTCCAGCACCCTTCTAGTCATCAAGCCTCAACAAAGCCCCACATCTTTATGGCTGGGGTACAGGGAACAGAGCCAGGGCCAGGCTCCAAGGGCCTCACCTCTGCCTCCATCTTTCCAGCACCCTAGATGACCTCGTCCTCATGAAAACACAGGACAAATGGGTGTTTAATAAATAGTCATGATGATAATGTCGATGCTCATCTCAGCTTTAATTCACATGCGTTAGTTCCATTATTTATTTTGTGCTCCTCAAACTAACCAGATAAAGTCATAATCAATTTAAAAACAATTAGTTCGATTTTGCATCTGTGATCCAATGGGAGTCTGTTTTTTCTCCAGTATTAACAATTGCATTGTACAATTAATGAATTTCAGTTGCAATCAGTCATGTTTGGGCTAATGTGGCATTTCTCTTTTGTTCCTGTTTGTTTTGTTTTGCTCGTAGGGTCAAGTTGTGTTCCGGAATGGAGAGAGGATGGGGACCATTAAATTCACTCAATTTCAAGGTAGGCTTTTTGATGCTTATTCTTTCTAGCTGATAAAATTTATATTCAGGGATGTTGTATTTATGCAACAAAAATACATCAAAAGAAATGAAAGTATGATGTTTTGGATAAAAGAAGGCAGAGTCAATAGAAAACACTTCTTTATGAAAATATTAGTTTCAACTTATGTGGAATATTTTTTCTCAACTGTATTACTTCTCGGGCCTTTTCTATCTTTCCACATGACTCTGAGAGGCTGATGAAACTATGGGGGCTGTGGGTTCAGTCAACTTCAGTACTCTAAGAAGCCTTGCATTGTTTCTGTTTTTGATTATAGAAACGTTCAAACAGACTCCAAAGTAGAGAGAACAGCAAAAGGAGCCCCCTGTACCCATCACCCAGCTCTGACCATTATCAGCATCTTGCCAATCTTGTTTCATCTTTACTTACCCCATTTCCCCCTTTTCTGTAGTGTTTTAAAGCAGCTCCTAGACATTATCTCATCTCAATCTATAAATGCTTCAGTATGCATTTCTACTAGATAAGGACTTTTTAAAACATGACCACAATACTGTTATTGCACCTAAAATATTTAACAATTTTTAATATCCTTTAGTTCCCAGTCTGTTGATCCTCTGATCATTTCAAAGACGTCTTTACAGATGGTTTGTTGCAGAATCCACACAAGGTCCACGCGTTGCATTTGCTTGATGTGCCTCTTTAGTGTCTTTTAATCTATTACAACCCCCCACTTTTTACAGATCATTTAGTTTTTTTTTTTGTTTGTTTGTCTTTTTGTCTTTTTCCGTGTCCGGCAACGGATCGCAACCCTCAGTGTTGCCCCCGTACCGGACCAGGACCGGCAACGGGATCGCAACCCTCGGCGTTGCCCCCATACCGGACCAGGACCGGCAACGGGATCGCAACCCTCGGCGTTGCCCCCCGCGCCTCG